AACCCCATCCAAAAATGGGGCAATGAAATGAACAGAAACTTTCTCAAAGAAGAAATCCGAATGGCAAAAAAGCACATGAGAAAATGCTCTACATCATTAATCATCAGGGAGATGCAGATCAAAACCACAATGAGATACCATCTCACACCTCAGAGACTGGCCCACATTCAAAAGAACAAAAGCAACCGATGCTGGCGTGGATGTGGCGAGAAAGGGACACTCCTTCACTGTTGGTGGGAATGTGCACTGGTTCAGCCCTTCTGGAAAACAGTATGGACGATTCTCACAAAATTAGAAATTGAGCTCCCATTTGACCCAGCAATACCACTCCTGGGAATATATCCCAGAGAGGCAAAAATGTATAGTCGAAGTGACATCTGCACTTGTTTGTTCATTGCAGCCCTCTTTACAATAGCCAGAAACTGGAAGAAACCTGAATGCCCAAGAACAGATGACTGGTTAAAGAAACTTTGGTACATCTACACAATGGAGTACTATGTAGCTCTTAGAAAAGATGAAGTCATGAAATTTACATACAAGTGGTACAATATGGAAAGTATCATGCTAAGCGAAATGAGTCAGAAAGAGAGGGAAAGACATAGAAAGATTGCATTCATCTGGGGGATATAAAGTAACAAAGTATGAGATTAATACCCAAGAATAGCTGAGATCAGCACCAGGAGGATTACTCCATAACTTAGAGGCCAGCCGGGTATCCTAGAGGAAAGGGCTATTCAGATAGAGAAGGGAGCACCAAATAAAGGATGTTTGGAGGATCCTCCCAGGAGGGGAGATGCATGTCGAAAGTAGACTATGGACTGAACATGTTTGCCACTCAATGCCTCTTTTGCAGACCACAACACCCAAAAGGAGAGAGAGAACACAGGGGATTGCCCTGCCACAGAGACGGGGGGATGGGGGGATGGGGGTGGGAGGGATATTATCCATGGTGGTGGAAAATGGGCACTGGTGGAGGGATGGGTATCTGATCATTGTATAATTGAAACCAAAGCACAAAAAATTGTAAATCTACAACTTTAAAAAAAAATAAAATAAAATAAAGGGGGAAAAAAAAATCTGTCATTTTGGGGGCTGGAGTGATAGCACAGCTGGTAGGGTATTTGCCTTGCATGCGGCTGACATGGGTTCGATTCCCAGCATCCCTTATGGTCCCCTGAGCTACCGCCAGGAGTAATTCCTGAGTGCAGAGCTAGGAGCAACCCCTGTGCATCGCCAGGTGTGATCCAAAAAGCCAAAAAACAAATCTGTCATTTTATTGTTTTGGATTGCTTTCCATCATTTCACCTGTAGCGTTTATTATGCAAACTCAAGTTTGTTTCTCATTAGCAATAAAAGTTTCCTGATCCATGTAGCTTCTCTGTTCCATTTTATAGGAAAGTTCAGCCCTTCATGAATAGGGAGATTATTGATGTTAAGAAATTTGTTGCTATTTTTCTTTGAGGATTATTATTCTTCTTTCAGTTTAACACTTATATTTCATAGACTTTTCAGTAATTATTGCAAAACTGTTTTGTTGCCACCAATGCCTTAATTTGTTCTTTGTCTCTAAATGTTTTTTATCCCTCGCAGATATGAGATAGAGTACTCTTGGTTGAATATTCTTTTCTTTCAATACATTGAATGTATCACCATTTTCCTTCTTGCTTGTGAGATTAATTTGGGAACTCTGGTGTTGATTTTGTGTTATTTCCCTTGTGTTTTTGGCCTTGTTTCTCTCTTGTCACTTTAAGTACTCTGTCTCTCAAGTTGATTCTTTCAATTTTGACTTTGGAATTTCTTGTTTTTTATTGATTTATGTTGTTTGGCACTCTTTTGGTCTCCTGGATTTGTATTCCTCCTCAGACTGGTGAAATTCTCAAATATTATATTCTCAAATATTATATCTTTCACCAGTCAAGTGCCCTACCCACCACTTAGGATATTCTTAGATATCTTTTTTTTTTGTTAATGCTAAGGAGTTAGCTGTCCTCACCTGGCTGTCCTCACTGGGGCCCTTTGGAGGAGGGAGGGTTGAGTTTCCCTTTCCACCCCGAGCAGAGTCCCAATAGCTGAAGACCTCCGGGACCCAGCCAAAGCCATGCTGAGACCACTCTCCACACGCTTGAACGAGGAACCGGCAGAGAAACCCAGGTGTGCGGCACCCAGGGCTGAGATCTCCAAGCCTGCTTGGTTCGGGACTGGGCCTCCTCCATCCAGCTCCCCCACCTTCTAGTAGCTAGACAGTTACACCCACCAACTGCCATGTAACCCCATCAATGGCCATGCAGAGACTATAAAATCAAGCTCCCAGAAGCTTATTCTTATTCTCTAGTTCTCACTCTCAGAGAACCTGGCAGGCTACTGAGAGTATCATACCCACCTATATGCCTGACTAGGAACACCTATAAAGGTGATTATAGGCTGCCCCCAAAGCCTCCATCCATCTCGGAGAGCCCGGCAAGCTACCAAGAGTATCCCGCCCGCTTGGCAGAGCCTGACAAGCTACCCGTAGCGTACTAGATATGTCAAAAACAGTAACAATGAATGGTCCTCATTCCCCTGACCCTGAAGGAGCCCCCAATATGTCATTGGGCTACAGTTGCACATGACAGGGACGAATGGAGACGTTACTGTGCCCGCTCGAGCAAATTGAAGAACAACGTGTTGATAGTGATAATGATAGCTAAGGAGTTTTTTTGTAATTTATCTAATTGTGACTTGCTTTTCATTTACCTTACTTAGGACATATTGGATTTTAATCTATCAACAGTTGTTCAGTTGTTGTTTTCATAAACTACCTCTGTCCAGTTTTCTTTTCTTCCTTCTGGAACTCTTCTACACACAAATATATGTGTGTGGCATATATGTATATATATGCATACATATATTATGTATTTCTAATTCTATCTCCCATGTTTCTGTCATGTAAGTTTTGTTTTTCTGCATAGTTTCTTCAGATCTACTAGTTCACTTAATCTCTCAGTAGCTGTATCCACTTCACTGTTTTTAATTCTACTTCTAGATTTTCTCTTATTAGCTTTGGTAGTATGTACTGTTTATTGCTTTTAGTAAATTTTCCCTACATTCTTCTCTATAAAAGTAAAAATGTATTTACTAGTACATATGGTTTTATATCACTTGACCACTTGATCCCCCGTTATTCATTGAATTACTCCAGCGGGTGCCAGTAACGTCTCCATTCATCCCTGTTGCGTGCTAGCATAGCCCAATGGCATCTGTTTGTTCTAGGAACATGCAGAGCCTCAAACAGATCATTCAGGGTCTTGACGAAGAAGTCTGACCACCTTGTAGGTGGGCGTCCACGCGATCTTTTGACGTCCCGTGGAATCCAGTCAGTAATGGCTCTAGTCCAGCGGTTGTCTGTAAACCTCATTACGTGTCCAGCCCATCTAATTTCTGTTGATGGTTTTGGAGCGATAGCACAGCGGTAGGGCGTTTGCCTTGCACGCAGCCAACATGGCCGACCCGAGTTCAATTCCTCCGCCCCTCTCGGAGAGCCCGGCAAGCTACTGAGAGTATCTCGCTTGCACGGCAGAGCCTGGCAAGCTCCCTGTGACATATTCGATATGCCAAACACAGTAACAACAAAGTCTCCAATGGAGATGTTACTGGGCCCGCTTGAGCAAATCGACGAACAACGGGAGGGCCTTTTTTACTTGAATTATATATATTTTGCTTTTTGGATCACAACTGGCGATGAACAGGGGTTACTCCTGGCTCTGCAACCAGGAATCACTCTTGGTGGTACTTGGGGGACCCTATGGGATGCTGGGGGTCAAACTCGGTTCAGCCACTTGCAAGGCAAACACCTTACCCTATTTGAATCTTTTTAATGTTTCTGTTACTTTTAAAATTTTTTGGAATCACACTCAGTATTGCTAATTGATGGTTTACTCTTGTCGCTGTGCTCAGGGATCACATTTGGGGCCTGGGGAACCATATGACATGCCAAGGCTCAAACCTGGGTTGGCTGTGTGATGTCTGAATGATAGCATTCTACCCATTGTACTATCACTTTGGCCTCCCTGGTACTTCTTGTCTAGTTGCTTGCTTGTGTTTCTAAATGTCCCTTGCTGCAGAAAAACTCTGATTTCATATTTCTTAGAACTTTATCTGTTATACTTATTTGATGTCTAGTTAGCTTCCTTTAGAGAGGAGGCATTTACTTACTTCTGATAAAGACCCATGTGAGAGATACTAGCCTGGAGTATTGTAAATGTGTCTCAATTTGATTTTTTTCCCTTTCTTTCTGTGTTCTCAATTTGAGATTTCTCAGATTACCCAAGTAGTTTTATGGTGCAGATTATGAGTTCTTGTTTGTCAAATTTTGCGTAATATTTCTCTCTTCTCCGCTTGGTGCCCAATCTTGAAATGCTCAGTTTTCTAAGAGACTTGAAGTACACTGTTTATTTCCAGTTTACCATTAACTTGAGAGTGTTAGCACTTTGAAGCACATGCTTTATAAGGACATCCTGTTTATCAGGACCCTGTTTTACAGCAAATTATAACAAGGCAGAAACTGATTAATGGCTTCTGAATGAATAGTCTTTCTAAGCAGTTTAAAATATTTTTATATTTATGATGATGTTTTCTCCTTAATTGGAGATGGAGGCTCTCAGTCATTATGTTGGGGGCCCAGGGACCAGTTCCCCTGATAGTTGACCAATCAGTCAATGCTGGAGCAAGGAGTGTGGAGCTGCCTCGGCCCAGCAACCATGGGGCACAACACAGTCATACTCCAGCAGTGCTACGAGGCCATGTGGAGTCCAGGGTTTTGAACTCAGGTCCTTGAACTTGCAAGAATCCCCTGATCCCTCACCTGTCATCCTAGTCTCCATTTAAGATGATTTTTAAAAAATAATAGAATTTTTAGTTGTCTTAGGAGGAAGATTGATGAGCATTCTTTCCTCTTTTGCCATATTGCTGATAAAGAAAGGAAAGCATTTTAACATGAGATTTTTTTTCTTTTTTGCCTATAGCTGCCCATATATACTGCACCACCTCTTCGGTACAAGTATGTTCAGGAGCAGCCTGGTCATTTACAAATGGGCTTTACATCCATTCGTTCTACAACTGGTTGTTATATAGGTTGGTGCAAGGTAAGCCAGTTCCCATAATGGTTTCTGATGTGTATTACATACTAGTTGTTGCTGTTACTCACTAATGTGTAACAAACTCCCCCAAATCTAGAAGCTTAAAATAGCAATCTTTCTATGATTTTTATGCTGTCTAATGATTTTGTGGGTCAGAAATTTGATTGGAACTCTGAAAGGTAATTCTTATGTTTCATATGGTGTTGACTAAGATCACTTGAAACACAAGAATCAGATCAAGTGATCTTAATACCACATGAAGGCTATCCATGTCATGAATGAGCTCATCTGAACAGTTTAAGACAACCACATTCACATGCCTGGCACCTTATCAAAGGTTGTTAGAAAGTCGTCTTTCATTGGGGAAGTTGATACATGGCCTCTTAGAAAAGGTGGTTTCAAAGTTGTCAAATAAGTTACCTGATCAATTCAGGACTTCTAGAGAAACTATTACTACAGACCTCAGGCAAAATTTGCCAAGCCTTGTATTTATCCTCAGATGACCAAGAATTCCACTTCTACAGTATTCTTTTGTGAAATCTCCAAAGTCAATCCAGGGAGGTAAATTAGAATCTACTAAATAGAATGATCAGCAAAAAAATTGTGACCATATTTAATCCATTGTACCTGTTACTTACAGCCCCATATGAGATCACATAATTTTTTTTATTAAAGCACTGTGATTTTTAAAATTGTTGATAGTTGAGTTTTAGGCATATAATATTATAACACCAATCTCACCACCAGTATCAACTTCCCTTCACCAGTGTTCCCATATTCCCTGCCAACCGTCAACCCCCACCCCATCCCCGCCTGTAAACCTGACAGGCACATTACAAAGTTCCAGTTGTTGCATCTTAGAAAGGTCACATAAATTTTTAAAACTTTATTTTAAAATGAATTTTTATGATTCATTATCAGTAAATGATTTGTATCTAATTTACATTTTTATATACCCAACAGTTGTGTAAAACTTTCTCAGGCCCAGTGGGATCATGAGTGGAAAAAGTTTAAGAAGACATTTTCTATACCACTACTGTGTATTAAAGTAACTCATTAAGTATTTATATTACTTAACATTGATCAAACACTGTTTGGCCTTCATGTGAAATTCTGAAATAACTTCTGAAATTTTTCGTATTTGTTTAAGCAAACTGACCACTTAGACTTAGCTTAAATGACCATTCTGCCTATTGTTAGCTGTTGGGCCAAAGTAGAATTCACCTTATTTTAATATTTTGCCTTCAATCAGCATTATCCAGCAATAGAATGGTTGAAGAAGCTGATACAGGTACTGGTATTTCATTATCATCACATCAACATCCTCCAGTGTCAGTTTCATAAATATTATTGTTACCATTGTTTTCATTATTCTGATCTAGTAACAACATTTTTCAGATCTACCCTATCCAGTTGTTAACCTAGTTCTTTTAAATTTATTTTTCGGGGGTTTTGAACCGCACATAACAGTGCTTGGGGCTTACTCCCAGCTCTGTGCTTGGGCGTCGCTTCTGGCAATGATTGGGGGGTCATGTGGTATGGTGATCTAACCAGGGCCACCCGCATGTTAGGTAAGCACCTCCTATACTATTTCTGCTTTTTAGGTGTGGTGTTCGAATTATGTGTATGGTAAATCATCATTGACAGTATTGTAAACCGTGAACTCAACCAATTAAAACATTTACAAAATTAAAATAAGCATTCATATTCTTTGAATCGCCAAAGATAAAACTCATGTCCTCATATATGCAAACTACTATGCTCTGAGCAAAATTCCTAGCCCACCTAGTCACTTGAGGTTGGAGTGTAGTGCTCAAGGACCACTAAATTTACTCTTAGTGATGTTCAGGGGTTCAAATGGTGCAATGGATCAGGCCAGGTTTCTTGTATATGGAAGGCATGTGTCCCTGACCACAGAACTGTCTTCCTTGGCCCCATCCCCAGCCTTCTAATGTACTATTATTATTACTACTGTTATTATCATCATTTTTATTATTTTGTTTTGGGAGCTATATCACAATGGTACTTAGGGCCTATTCCTAGTTTGGTACTGAGGAGTCACTCCCAGTGAGATCCAACTATGCCCTTTGAGCTATTTCTTTGGTCCTGGTCCACTATTTTAAAAACCAAAATTCACTGTATTTTCGTACATTGACTTTGAAAAATAAACTAATGAATGCATAAAATTAATTATAATTAAATAACAAATATATACATTCACATCATTCCAGATTATTTTGAACACCTGATGAATATATGATGTTTTTGGAAAAGTCTATGTGTCATACAATTCTAATAGAACTAATTGTGCTCCACACTCTTAATAATGTAATCAAAATAGTAGCCCTGGGGCTATATGCCAAAAATCAGATTTAAATTGCTTTGAGACCTAATTTCCTGACTGTTCTCAAACTTGAACTCAGTGAGGTTATTTTTGAGAAGTTTTGCAGCTGCTAGTGTTACCCAATTTAAGACTTAAAGAGCTATTTATCCTATTAATAAAATGAGATAAATAGGTTGAAAAGGGGTGATTAAAAATTCATTTCATCCTTTATGTAAATTATTTTTCCTTACAATATTCCTCTAAAAGTGTTTTCTATCCTTTACTAGTAACTTTTACTCAATTTATATTATACATTAGACTTAGAAGCATATTGAGAACATTCTGTTCCTACCCCGATTCCTTAGTGTTTTTAAATTTTAGCTGGCAATCACCTAAAGTACCTAAGGGAAATTTCCCAGATCCCTCAACAATATATGATTCTCATGCAACTGAAGTTGAAATTTTCTCGAGATACAGTCCCTGAAGAGAAATAACTCAATGACAGTGAATTAAACATGGTAATTGAATAACATGAAGCTTTGCATCTATGATCACTGTGAAACACTGAGAAAAAGTAGATATCAAGCTATCTCCATAGCATTACTGATTTATTTTCTATCAATATAATTATTTCCATTTTCTTTGCTTTAAATATCCATTTTTTATTGTTTTCATTGCATGATTTCATAGCAGCTACTTCAGAAAAGGAGGCATTTGTTTGGGTTGTGTTTTCTGTTTCTTTCATTAAGAATGTAACATGGTTATGGACAATTGCTATGGATAAATCATTACGTGCCTTTATTTTCATTATGATATAACTGTAATAATTCAATAAACGTATGTAAATTTTACCTTTTTTTTTAAAGTACATTAAAAACAAGTAAAACTATTTATTAAAAAGTTTAATCTATTCACTGGGATAATATAATCTTGAATTGTAGGGGATTCCTATTCTTATATAAATACTAGATGAATACTAGTCTGTATAAGATGATTTCTGTTCTTAGATAAAGGTCATATTTAGCATTTTATTAATTCTAATGCACAGTAAAATGTTAAATGAAACTCTTTTATTTAGTTTGTTTTGTTTTATTATATCTATGCAAATCATTATAGATTCCAGGTCTTTATTAGCAGGATATTGTTTCTGAGCTGAAATATATACCTCTCTTCATGCTTTCTTTAAATACTGCTTGTTTTTATTTTATTTTATTATTATTTTTTTTTGCTTTTTGGGTCACACTCGACAATGCACAGGGGTTACTCCTGGCTCTGCACTCAGAAATCATTCCTGGCGGTGCTCAGGGGACCATATGGGATGCTGGGAATCGAACCTGGGTTGGCTGCGTGCAAGGCAAATGTCCTACCTGCTGTGCTATCTCTCCAGCCCCCAATACTGCTCGTTTTTAGCTTTATGAAATGAGATAATAAAACTTTGCATGTCATCAATATATTTTCTGTGAGATGCTCTGATCATATTATAACCATGACTTTATTGTCTCATAAGACAAAAGTCATAGTTATTTTTATTTTTTTTTATTTTTTGCTTTTTGGGTAACACCCGGCGATGCACAGGGTTACTCCTAGCTCTGCACTTAGGAATTACTCCTGGTGGTGCTCAGGGAAACATGTGGAATGCTGGGAATCGAACCCAGGTCAGCTGTGTGCAAGGCAAACGCCCTATCTGATGTGCTATCGCTCCAGCCCAAAGTTAATAGTTATTGTCCATGTTAACTATCCATTAAAAGTAAAAAATGAAAGAAAATTCAACATTTATGCTTATAGCACATAAATAGGAAAACTAGGTTTACATTTGGTGACATCAACATTGTAATATATTATTGGAGACAGAATATTTGATTTAATTGAAAAATCTTCTAAAATGCAAATATCCCCCCCATCCTTTTTATTTAGGGTGTTTACATCTTTGTGAAAAATCGGATACTAGATACAGCACAATTTGGAAAAGGTAGGTGAATGAAGCATGGTAACTGGAAATATTCTATTGTATTTTTACTAACTCAGAGCCCAGGCTGTATACTCTTAAATTGTAAATTAGAAACATGTTTTCATTATTTTATTTACCTTAAATAAGTGCTAATTGCTTCTAACATATATGATGTTTTGTTATTGAATGCTCAGAAACACTGTATATGCCAGCTCACCCACCCTAGAACATATACACTAGTAGGCAGCAATTATATTTGATTACAGTTTAGTGGTTTTTTTGGGTGGTGGGACTCCTGACAGTGCTCAGTGGTCACTCCTGGCTCCGTTCTCAAGGGTTGCTTCTGTTGGGGATTAGGGTACCATAAGAGGTGCCAAGGATCTAACCCAGCTTGGCTGCATGCAAGACTAATACTTGACTAGCTATACACCTCTCCAGCCTCTAGTATAGTTTAGTTTGATAATGGTGTTTGGTGGCATCAGTAGCTTCCTAATATTCTTATCATCTGTCAGACTAATTGTGTACGGAACAGACAAACTAAAAATCATAATTGTTTTCATGATGTAAACGAATCATATATGATTGAAGGTGCATAGGAAGTAATTCAAAATTATATTCCTTAACAGTCTCAGAATGTTACTAAATTAGTATTGTTAGAGTTCGATACCTGAAAGACCACAAAAAGAAATGAGCTTTGTAGTATAAAGTTTTATTCGGCACAAGCACTGAGTTCAGAATCCAGAGAAAGCTGATTGGTCAGGGCTGTCCTCTCTAGTAGGATAGTGACTCTCTCCTTTGTTCTTACACCCTTTTTTATCCCTGATTTCTGCAAGTTGCTCAGTTCTTGGAGGTCTAGCTAACTTTCTGGTAACCTTTTACTTGATTGGCTGCCTCAAGCTGGTTTGTGCTGGGCAAGTGCCATGTCAAACTCCTATTGGTTGTTACCATCTGGGGGTTCATGTTTCATCTCTCTCTGAGGACTGACTGACCGCAGGTTTCCACATCCTGTTGTGCATCAGGGTTTCTAGCTAATTCTGGAATCCTGGGATATGCCTCAGGGTCATGGTCAAGACTGTACAAATTTTACAGTAAACAAGCTTTGGGTGCAGAATGACTGATACTTAGTGATGGTGGTGCTTGTGCTATGCTGTATTATAATAGGTATTATTCATAATAATATATTCATAATAATACCTGGCAGTAGGGAGGATGGTCCCGCAGTATCACCATTAAATAAGTATGATAGAAGACTGTGTTTTTGTATTATACAGTCACGATCACGACCATCCTGTTGTTCGTTGATTGCCTCGAGCAGTACCCAGTAACGTCTCCTTCGTCCTAGCCTTGAGATTTTTAAAAAGTGCCATATTCAAGGCTCTTTTAGGGTTAGGAGAATGAGATCCATCATTGTTACTGGTATTTGGCATATTGGGAACGCCACGGGGAGTTTGCCAGACTCTGCCTTGTGGGCAGGTTACATTCGGTAGCCTGCCAGTTTGTCCAAAGTAGGAATGAGATAATAAGATGTCACGAGGCGGGCTGCGCGCTTCCGGGAGCTGGGTTTTATAGTCTCTGGGTCTTGGCCGTTGATGGGATTACACGGCTCCAGGGCACCAGTTCCTGCCTACTGGAAGGTGGAGGATCTGGGTGGAGGATACTCAGCCCCGATCCGAGCAGGCTTGGAGATCTAAGTCCCGGGACCTGCATGCCTTTGTTCGTCTGCCGGTACCTTCATGCGTGTGGAGAGTGGTCTCAGCATGGTGGTGGCTGTTTCTGGAGGTCTTTGGCTGGCAGAGCCCTGGTCGGGGCGGGGAGGGACACTCAAACCGCACCCCTCCAAGGGGCCCCGGCGAGGACAGCCAGGCGTGGGGGCAGGAGATTCTGCATTATACAGATTATACAGTATCAGAAACAATTTACATACAAAGCGAAGAAATTTGGGTTTTTGTTCCCTCTTCATATCATTTTTTATTTTTAGTGGTTTTTCACATTTTTTTAAATTGTATTTTTCATTAGTGAAACACCATGAGGTACAGTTGTAGACTTACAAACTTTCATGCTTCGGTTTCAGTTATACAATGATCAAGTACCCATCCCTCCACCAGTGCCCATTCTCCCCATTCACTACCAACAATTAAACCAGTAGCCCTCTCACGCCCCCCACCTCCCACCCCACCCCACCTCACCTCTGTGTCAGGGCATTTCCTTTTGCTCTCTCTTTCCTTTAGGGTATTGTGGCTTGCAATAGAGGTATTCAGAGGCCATCATGTTTAGTCTGCAGTCTGCTTTCAGCACACACCTTGCATCCAGACCAAGTCCTACAAACCCCTTTTACTTGTTGTTCCCTTTGCTAGCTGAGCTGCCTTTTCCCCCAGCATGTGCTTCCAGCGTCCAACCTGTGGAGCAGACCTCCTGGTACTTATCTCAACTATTCTTGGGTGTTTGTCTCCCCATCTCTTACTTTATATCACCCAGATGAATGCAGTCTTTCTATGTCTGCCCCTCTCTTTCGGACTCATTTCACTTAGCATGATACTTTCCATGTAGAACCACTTGTTTGTACATTTCATAACTTCATGATTTCTAACAGCTGCATAGTATTCCATTGTGTAGATATACCTAAGTTTCTTTAACCAATCATCTGTTCTCGGACACTCGGGTTTTTTTTTTCCCAGATTTTGGCTATTGTGAACAGTGCAGCAATGAACATAGAAGTGCAGATGTCATTTCTACTGTGCTTTTTTGCCTCTCCGAGATATATTCCCAGGAGTGGTATAGCTGGGTCAAATGGGAGCTCAATTTCTAATGTTTTTGAGAATCGTCCATACTGTTTTCCAAAAGGGCTAAACCAGTCGGCATTCCCACCAGCAGTGAAAGAGAGTCCCTTTCTCCCCACATCCCCACTGGTTGCTTTTGTTATTTTGGATGTGAGCCAGTCTGCATCTCCCTGATTATTACTGATGTAGAGCATTTTCTCGTGTGCCTTTTAGCCACTTGGGTTTCTTTGACAAGGTTTCTGTTCATTTCATCACCCTATTTTTGATGGGGTTGGGTGTTTTCTTCTTGTGGAGTTCAACCAGTGCTTTGTATATCCTTGATATCATCCGCTTATCAGATGGTTATTGGGTGAATATCCTTTCCCATGGAGCGATAGCACAGCGGTAGGGCGTTTGCCTTGCAGGCAGCCAACATGGCCGACCCGAGTTCGATTCCTCCGCCCCTCTCGGAGAGCCCGGCAAGCTACCGAGAGTATTCGATATGCCAGACACAGTAACAACAAAGTCTCCAATGGAGACGTTACTGGGCCCGCTCGAGCAAATTGACGATCAACGGGAGGGCCTTTACTTTACTTTACTATTCTATAGACTGTGTTTTTTATTTTGGTCCCTGTTTCTTTTGAGGTGCAGAAGCTTCTTAGTTTAAGATAGTCCCATTTGTTTGTCTCTGTTCCCCTTGGTTGTTCAGTGGCATGTCATCTTTGAAGATACCGTTAGCTTCAATATCATGGAGGGTTTTGCCAACCTTGTCTTCAGTGTACCTTATGGATTCCAGTCTGATGTTGAGGTCTTTAATCCATTTTGATCTGACTTTTGTGCATGGTGTTAAGTCGAGTTCTAAGCCCAGTTTTTTTTGCATGTGGTTGTCCAGTTATGCCACCACCATATGTTAAAGAGGCTTTTCTTGCTCCAAGTCACATTTCTTGCTCCCTTATCAAAGATTAGATATTCATACATTTGGGGTTGTGTGTAGGGGTTATTCCCCCCTGTTCTATTGGTCTGCGGCTCTGCTTTTGTTCCAGTCCCATGCTGTTTTAATTGTTACTGTTTGTAGTAGAGTTTGAGGTTCAGGAGAGTGATTCTTCCCATCGTCTTTTTCCATAGAAAGCCATGGACTTTTGGGTATTGATTTTATAACCTGCAACTTTACTATTCAAGTCTATTGTTTCTAGGAATTTCTTGGTAGAGGTTTTAGGGTTCTCTAAGTATCTATCATTATCTAAGTATCTATCTATCTAAGTATCTATCTAAGTATCTAAGTATCTATCTATCTAAGTATCTATCTATCTAAGTATCTATCATTATCTAAGTATCTATCTATCTCTAAGTATCTATCATTATCATCTGGGAATAATGAGAGCTTGATTTCTTCCTTTCCTATCTGAATGCCCTTAATATCTTTTTTTTTTTTTTTTGCCTAACTGCTCTTGCAAGGACTTCCAATACTACATTGAATGGATGTGGCAAGAGTGGGCATCCTTGTCTTTTTCCTGATCTTAGAGGGAAGGCTTTTAGTTTTTTCCCATTGAGGATGATGCTTGCCATAGGCTTGTGGTTGATGGCTTTGACTATATTGAGGAAAGTCCCTTCTATACCCGTTTTGACAAGGGTTTTCATCTAAATGGGTGCTGGATCTTGTCAAATGCTTTCTCTGCATCTATTGATATGATCATATGGTTTTAATCTTTTCTTTTGTTGATATGATGGATTATGTTGATTGATTTCCAAATGTTAAACATCCTTGCATCCCCAGGATGAATCCCACTTGGTCATGGTGTATGATCTTTTTGATGAGTTGTTGAATCCTATTTGCTAGTATTTTGTTGAGAATCTTCGCATTTGTGTTCATTAGGATATTGGCCTGCCATTTTCTTTTCTTGTAGTGTCTTTGTTTCTTTTTGGTATCAGGGATATATGAGCTTCATAGAAACTGTTTGATAGAGTGTCTGTTTTTTCAGTTTCCTGGAAAAGCTTGAGAAGAATTGGCAATACCTCCTCTTTACGTGTTTGGAAAAATTTGCTAGTGAATCCATCTGGACCTGGGCTTTTGTTTTTGGAAGACTTTTGATTATAGTTTTAATTTCCTTGATGTTAATAGGACTATTTAGGTAGTCTAGATCTTCTTGATTCAGCCTCGAGAGATTATAGACATCATGGAATTTATCCATTTCTTCTAGGTTCTCTAATTTCGTGGCATACAGACTTTCAAAGTAGTCTCTGATGATCTTTTGAATTTCTTTGGTTTCTGTTTTGATATCCCCCTTTTCATTTCTGATTCATTTTATTTTGTTCTCTCTCTCTTTCTTTGTGAGTCTTGCTAGTGGTTTATCGATCTTGTTTATTTTCTTGAAGAACCACCTCTTGGTTTCATTGACTTTCAGATTGTTTTTTTGTTTCCATGTCATTGATTTTTTCTCTAAGTTTTATGATCTCTTTCCTTCTGCCTGGTCTAGGCTCCTTTTGTTGGACCTTTTCAAGATCTTTAGCTGTGGAGTCACACTGTTTATGTGGGCCCTTTCTTCTTTCCTGAGAAATGCTTGCAGATCTAAGTTTCCCCTTAACATGACTTTTGCTGTGTCCCACAGGTTCTGGTAGCTTGTGTCTTCATTCTCATTTGTTTCCAGGTATTTTTTGATTTCTTCCTTGATTTCTTTCCCAACCCTCTCGTTGTTCAATATTGAGTTGTTTAATTTCCAGGTTTTTAATTTGGTTTTCTCCGTCTGTACATGATTAACTTCTATCTTCATTGCATCGTGATCTGAAAAGATAGTTGATACAATGTCTATTTTCCTGATTCTGTTTAGATATGCTTTGCGACCCAGTACATGGTCTGTTCTGGAAAATATTCCATGTGCACTGGAAAAGAATATGTATTCTTTTTTGGGGCAGATGTATAGTCCTATATAGCTCTATTAGTGCTCTCTCTTCAATTTATTCCTTCAGAGCCATTATTTCCTTGCTGAGTTTTACTCTTTCACATTCTTTTTGTTATGCTTCTCATGCTGATCATGAATTTTTAATTAAGGTCAGTGGCTTTTTTCAGGTTATTAAAGAGTATAGGCATGCAGATTATACTAGCTACGTGTACACTTAAACTGTTATCAAAGCTCCCTCTTGAAAACTTCAGTTCTTACTGGATCCTTCCCATCTTTGTATAGATAAAACCAGACCAAATGGATCTGGAATGATAATACAGCAGGTAGGGCATTTGTCATGCACACAGCCAACCTAGTTCCTTTGTAGGTTTCCACATGATCCCTGAGAACCACCAGGAATAATTCCTGAGTGCAGAGACAGAACAACCCCTGAGCATCTTCAGCTGTGGCCCCAAAACAAACTAAAAAAATCATTGTTAGGTTGTGTATTCTGACATCACATTTCATTTAAGAGAAGTAATGCCTGTATTATTAAGAAAACATATTGTTAAATCAGGTATGGAAGGAAGATTTTAATTTGTAATGAGTAACCAGCTTTCTAAGTTGATGTTCAAATCATTATTTTGTGTAGCAGTTTTTGATATCTGTAAACCATCTGCTATTATGTAATGCCCAGTTATATTGTCATTTATATTAATTTTCATTGATTTCTTGAGATGCATATGACTATCTGAAGAATCCACCCCAAGATTTCCTTCCAAAAATTGGAGTGATTACAGTGTCAGGATTGGCAGGCTTGGTTTTGGCAAGAAAAGGTAAGGTTTTTAAAAATACTCTATCTCTTTCAATGATATAATAATTTCTGAATTTTATAGGAAACCTAATGCCTGGAGTTAAGTATTATTTGGATAGGCTACCATAAAATGTATAGATCCTTTAGTCGAGCTTGTTGACCAGATATTATAAAAAATGTTCAATACAGGTAGTTGGTAGGAATTAAAAATGAAAGCCACCTTTTATAACGTCTAAAGTTTAAAAGACTTGCCGTATAATTGTATTCAAAATTATTTAGCAACTAATATTTTAAGTACTTCTGGTGAGTAAGCAAAATGGTATAGGTATGGCAGAAAATAATGATTTTTCATAAAATTAAATATAAAGAAATGTAGCAAGGAATTAACAGATATTGACTAAAGGCAACAGAATTTGACAATGTTTTGTAGAACTGAGATTATTGTGGTGTTGGATCAGGGTTGAGGGGTAACACTAGTGGAAGTTGTGGTGGGATACTGATGGATGGTGTGATGTTGGTATATTTTATGCATGAAACCCAATTATTAATAGTATTATAATTCATAGTACCTAATATTTTAAAGGAAGCTTTAAGAATATATACTAACCATCAGATTCAATATTAATCTGTGTGTTTACCATGGGGACTTGAATAGCCTATATACAAACTTCTTGGTAGCTCTATTAATAATCACTGAAATCTAGGGAGAAAAACTAAATATATTTCATGATAAACTGAACTCTGATACCTCCATACAAAATACTATTCAAAACCCGAAGGACCGAACCATAAACACATACATATTACTTAGTCTTAATGAATCTGAATTAAAGAAGTCAATCTAAAAACAATAAAGCTTTAAAGTATGCCGCAGACTGGCTCGGTCGAAGACCACCAGGCTGAGGGGAAAACAGGGGAGAAGGTCCACAGGAAAGCAGGAAATTCGGCGCGATGGACAGACAGACACCAACACAAGAGAGGCTGAGTGCTGCTGCGAGTTTATTGAGCCCAGAGTTCCTCTTATTATACAGTTACAGAACAAAGAGCCAGGGGTCCTTATCAGACATTACATCAGTCTCTTCATTAAGTTCCCAAAGACGGTACAGGGTCCGCTTTACATTAAGACAAGGCATCCGCTTGTAAATCTTTACATAGGCCTTTCATGTTCAAGGGTGTTTAACCACAATCCAATTTACAGAGTTCTTTTATCCTTATCTTTCCCAATACAAGTTCTGCTTTATTTTTTTAACCAGGTCAGTACATTAAAGAGACAGGGAAGGTCATTAGGTTACCAAACTGTGTTTAGCATTGTCACATTAATGAATTACGGGGTGCACGTGCAGGGGCTGACGTCTGCAGTGTACGTGCAGGGGTTTGATGTTTGCAAAAGAGGGCATAGGGGTCTTTCAACATCCCCTCTCTCCCACACGTAGGCCTGCTGTTTGTTCATTAATGACTGCGTTGTAAGCTGAGGCTGGCACTCTTCCAAAGATAACTTTCAGTGGCCTTGACTGGCTCTGCTTTTGTCTAGCTTCAAAATGAACTCTGACTTTATTTAAAACCTCTTTTCCATGAGCTAAGGTAACTGACAATAAAGTAATTTAAACTGCAACTACAGCACCTCTTCTTATAAGTCTTAACCTAGTCTTATATTCCTATATTCCTATTGTCCCAAGACCATGAACTTATTTCCCTACATTCCTGTGGTTAGTGATTATGTTTTCTGCAGTAGTCGATACTTAAGCTAAAAGTAAGACTGGCAGGCAAATATTAAAAGCTCCATTTGGGAGGCTAGAGAACCGCATACCAGAAGCGTCATGGGCACTTGTTAGGCCCAGGCAAACAAAGGGGGCTGCCGGAGGCATGGACCCGTGGGCCGCGAACCTCCCATTCCCAGGAACCTGAGGCCTGCCCAGGTTCCCCCGTAACATATTGCTGCGCGGGCGACACTGTTGATGGCGTGGCAAAAGTATATACCTATTCACATTAAAATTGTAGTATATTATTTTCTTGTAGGTAATTTCTTTTAGGTCTTAGCATTCTAGCTATGGGGGCCAGGAAATGACTCACTACCTAAAGCACCTGTTTTGCAAGTGTGAGACCGTGAGTTCAATCTCTGGTGCCACCCACATACTCTTAATAGGGATCCTAACAGTTTTGCTGTTTGTGAACCTTGGTGAGATGGGTAGCGAGAGTTAACTTATATAGGTAAAGTGCCTCCTTCACAGTTTGTGAAGCTGTGAGTTTGCACTTAGCACAATTCTAACAGCTTTACAATGTTTGTGCTTGCCAGTGATGTTATCTGTTATACCTGATGCAACCAGCAATTTCTAGCAGTACCACAGTCAGGTAGTATGTGCAGAAATTAAAGGGGGAAATTCCTAGTGAAATCCACAACTAAAAAGATTGTGTGAGCACCACAGTTAGGACTGTGAATCACTGGCTAGCACATGTGTAAGTACCACAACTGAAGTGTGTGACCCTCTACAAGCATGTATCCAAGCACCACAACAAAAGGAGTGGGATTCCCAATTACCACGGGCAAATATGCAATCATCAGAACTGGATTTGTGACCTCCAGCAAATTATACCACTATATATGTGAGCACCACAATCAAGCAAGCATGTGTTGCATGTACTGCAGCAACAGTATGCACAGGAGAAGGGAGGGACAGAAAAGAAGTATCTCTTGCTATCAGAACTATCTTGAAAGTTTTACATTAATTGAAAATGTGTAATAACAAAAATACTTTGCTTAGTTATGACCAACACATTTTGGATTTGGAGTACAATATTGATATCTCAGATAAAATTTTGTGTGATGCTCAGGGGCTACTACTGACTTTACACTTAGGAATTACTCCTGGTAGTACTCAGTGGACCTTATGGGATGCCAGAGATAAAACCCAGGCTGGAAATGTTTAAGTACACCCTGTTGTACTATTTCTTCAGCCCCAGAAAAAATTTTATATCCTCTCAGTTCTCATATTGACTGAAGTTATGCACATCAGCAAGCTATAGGCTATCACATCAGACTAACTAGTCTGACTAGCATAGCCTATAGAATACACTTCAAATGCGTCCAGTTTTATATTAAATATAGAATGTTATAATACTCCATACACATTAGGAAAAAGTCAATATTTTTAGGAGAATGGTGGGCATGTGTAGATGAACAACATACAATAAGAATATAAAACTGGGCATTCAGGGATAGAAGAAAATAAGGGAAAGGTTATTCAGACTGGATATTTCACCCCAGGCTATCCAGAATAGATTGAAATTTATAGGTTTTTGTATGTTTAAATTCCTAGTGAGGTTCTGTTTGTAAGATTTCTTTTTCTGGAAGGGTTGTGGTCTCATAAGAGTGAAAAATATCCTACCTGTAGTACTATTGCTGCAGCCCTATATTTCCTGTCTTTTTATTATTTCTTAAGGACTTAATTTTTTAAGTGTAAAGATAGTGTTCAGAAACATGATATCACATATATGGAAACTGTGGTTCCATTTTTTTATTTATTCACACAGTACCTCGAAAATGCCAAGAATATAATTAGTGCCTCTTATTTAAGTAATTATCAGTATTAGATGGAAAACTCTTTTCTTTTTACCTTTTTTTCCTATTACTTCTTTTGGGGTCACTGTGTTTTATTAGTAGGGTTTCATACAAGAGCTATTCCAGCACTACACCTTCCAGTCAGGTATCTGCTTCCTTCCACCATGTCCCAAGATCCCTCACCCACCCTCCCACCACAGTGGTAAGCTTCATACTGAAAACAGATTCTCAGTTTATGTTGCTTTTAGGCATCTGTTATTCCCATTTTCTGTTTCTTCATATCCCACATATGAGAGAGATCATTCTGGAGAACCCTTTTCTTAAATTTGACATAACATTTATATGGGTATTAATTAAATTGTGAGAGTAACTGCCATCTTAATTAGTATTATTGTTTATTTTTGTAATTTATGTAACCTATTTACAATTGCATGATTCATGATCTTTAGCATATTATTAAAAGAGTAACACAGGGTAAATAGTTTGAAGGCAAACAGGTAGTAAACAAAATCATAAAATCAAGTCATTGGAGCATCTGGAGTTTAATTATGATTTTTAATTTCATAGGTTCTAAGTTTAAGAAAATTGCTTACCCACTTGGACTGGCCACTTTAGGAGCAACTGTTTGCTACCCAGTTCAGTCAGTAATAATTGCAAAGGTAAGTTTTTAAGTAATAGCAAAATTCTAATATATTCAAACACTCAGCATGGCAATCTTTAAATATCATATAGAAATGAACATTTAACTTTCAGAGAAATATATTTCATACCAACTTTTATGTTAACAAAAACTGTGTAGGGTTCAGTAGACCTAAGTTTGATTCCCAGCATCACATATATGGTCCTGTAACCACTGCCAGGTGTGGTTACTGCAAGGCCTGAGCAATACTGCATTCTCTGGTCCTTGCATTGAGTTACCAGCTGGATGTCAGAGAATCACTGGCGGGGGCCCCAGGCCTCCTGAGCACTATTTAGGAACAACTTCCAAACATTTCAGCATGGGAAATTCATTTTAATTATGTGACCATAACAGATAAAACAGAATATATTTATTTGAATATAATTCAACAATGTAAATGCTGGATTTACATTGTTTAGATTTGAGGATTAAGATCAGAGACATTGAACTGGAATTTATGTGGGGAAAAGATTTTCTTCTTTGGAATGAATCTTCATTTTTCCCCTTCTTTTTCTTTTAGTGATGTAAAGTCCAGTTATTATCAGAAAATTATACTTGCTGCAGTGTTTTTTTTTAAATTTTATTAGTGAAACACCATGAGGTATAGTTGTAGACTTAAAAATTTTTGTGCTTGGGTTTCAGTTATACAATGATCGAGTACCCATCCCTCCACTAGTGCCCATTTTCCACCACCACTAATCCTGGTATCCCTCACACTCCCCATCCTTCCATCCCATACTGCCTCTATGGCAGGGCATTTCCTTTTGTTCTCTCTCTCCTTTTGGGTGCTGTGGTTTGCAAAAGAGGCATTGAGTGGCAATCATGTTTGGTCTATAGTCTACTTTCAGCATGCATCTCCCATCCTGGGCAGATCTTCCCAATACCCTTTATTTGGTGCTCCCTTCTCTGTCTGAGCTGCCTTTACCCCTAGAGTGTGCGACTGGCCTCCAAGCCATGGAGTAAACCTCCTGATATTTATCTCAGCCATTCTTGGGTGTTAGTCTCCTATTTTGTTACTTTATGTTCCCCAGATGAATGCAATCTTTCTGTCTGTCCCTCTCTTTCTGACTCATTTCACTTAGCATGATACTTTCCATGTAGTAATACTTGTATGTAAATTTCATGACTTCATCCTTTCTAACAGCTACATAGTACTCCATTGTGTAGATGTACCAAAGTTTCTTTAACCAGTCATCTGTTCTCGGGCACTCAGGTTTTTTCCAGATTCTGGCTATTGTAAAGACTGCTGCAAAGAACAAACAAGTGCAGATGTCACTTCGACTATACTTTTTTGCCTCTCTGGGATATATTCCCAGGAGTGGTATTGTTGGGTCAAATTGGAGCTCAATTTCCAATTTTTTGAGAATTGTCCATACTGTTTTCCAAAAGGGCTGAACCAGTCAGCATTCCCACCAGCAGTGAAGGAGGGTCCCTTTCTCTCCACATCCACACCAACACCGGTTGCTTTTGTTCTTTTGGATGTGGGCCAGTCTCTGTGGTGTGAAATGATATCTCATTGTTGTTTTGATCAGCATCTCTCTGATGATTAATGATGTAGAGCATTTTCTAATGTGCCTTTTAGCATTCGGATTTCTACTTTGAGAATGTTTCAGATCATTTTGCCGCCCCATTTTTTGATGGGTTGGATCTTTTCTTCTTGGGGAGTTAAACCAGTACTTTGTATATCCTTGATATCAACCCCTTGTCGCATGTGTATTTGGCGAATATCCTTTCCCAACTGTAGACTGTCTTTGTATTTTCATCACCGTTTCTTTGGAGGTGCAGAAGCTTCTTAGTTTAAGATTGTCCCATTTGTCTATCTCTGTTTTCACTTGGGGGGAGATGTCAGTATATTCAACCCTGTTCCATTGGTCTTTGCTGCAATGTTTTGTGTTGTAGATTAACATAATGCAGAACAAGCCCAACTAATTAGGTAACAGAGGCTTCTGAAGGTTAAACTAAAACTATATAGATACATAACAGTCAATTTTGAAACCATCTGGAACTAAGTAACATATTTATTGAATCTCCAATATACTATTTTGTCTACCTACAAACCCTGTGGTTCTCCTAATAAATTAAATAGTTTGTGTCAGTATTTAATTCAACACATTTGGATTAATAAAAGTTTTCCAGTGTGTGAAACTTTCTATTTCTTATTTTAAGAATATTGAGTTTATAGTGTCCTACTAGTGTATCATGTGACCAAGCTCTAAAAGCATGTAGCAGAGGAAGAGATCACTATTTTTAAATCTAATTGTGCTTGAGTTAGTGATTAATAAAAATGTTTTCCTGTTTACCAGTATCAAACTATGGCCCAAGGAAGTTTAACAGTGATTGATTTGTTTAGGGTAATATTCAGTGTAATGTTTCCTGCTTTTCTTTTCATTTCTATCCTTAGGGCATGGTCCTGTCACTGATTATTTTTCTCATTAATGATCTTTTAAAATTAAATTGTACATGCACATTGATCCTTAAATAATTTTAGCAATATAGAGAAGTGTAAGCAAATATCTAACTAAAGTTTTCCATTGATAAAACTATCAATGTCAACATTTGACATAATTTGACAGATTTTAGGGCCAGTTTAAAGAGCTGGATGCATGCTTTGTATATTGAGCCCTAGGTTCAATCCTTTCACTTTATAGTTTCCCGAGTACCCAGCTGAGAATCTATTATGCACAAATCTGCCATGTTTTATCCAAAAATAAACAAAAATAATGTTATTCTCGGTATTTCCCCAGGCATACATATAGGCAGATTCAGCATCATAAAGTAGGGCTTTAACAAAATAAGGCTTTTAGTATTATATGCATCTTATTTTTAATTATAAAAATAAATTATTAAATAAAATAAGGACAAAAGAAAAATTAATGTAGAATTCCTGAGAATAAAAATAAAACTTTTCTGTGATTAAGAAGTTACTAGTAAGAGCTCCTAAACGTTTTTCTATGACTAAATCATGTTATATTTCTAAAGGTGAAACAGTTTTCCTCTGAATGTCATATAACATACTACATGTGTTTGGAAGATTATAACATAATACATATACATATTACATATGTTTACATGTAACGTTACATGTAGCCAATTAATGCCTTGTAATTTTGTATTCTCAGGATCATTGGTCAATAGTAAAAATCTTAAAAAAGGAAATTAAAATATTATAGATGTGTTATCTAAATGTTGTGTTTCAAATTAACATATGTGTGTATATTTTTCTCTCTGAACTTTTCTACAACTGTGGGTCTCTGTTTTGAAATTCTGTAACATCTTTCTTATAGTTATTTTTTTCATATTATTTATTCTATTCTTTGTTGTTACTGTGTCTGGCATATCGAATACGTCACGGGGAGCTTGCCAGGCTCTGCCATGTGGGCGAGATACTCTCGGTAGCTTGCCGGGCTGGGCCCACTAGAGCAAATCAATGAACAACAGGAGGGCCTTTACCTTTTATTCTATTCTATTCAGAATATTTTATTTAACTAAAATAACCATTTAAAAACATGGCTTTTTAAAAATTGTATGAGTACAGAATTCACTTATATTTTTATTCCCTTTAACCAGTATTTTATTGCAGTTGTTTTATCCTTTTCTAATGTGATAACATTTTTTGTGATTTAGTTTTGTATCTTTTAAAGCATTTAACTTTGTTCTTCCAGAAACAATCATGTCCACATTCGTATTTTTTCATTACCTTTTAATTGGTTTTAGTGTGTTAAATGATTTACCAAATATAAATATTTGTAAGTTTTAGGTGTGCATTGTTACCACAAAACAACATTCATCAATGTATCAGTTATCCTTCCACCACATTCCATGTAATCCTTCCCACCCATGCCTCTTTGACATCTTCAGTACTTACAGTAGAATCTTAGCCTTTGTTGTTACTGGACTTTTCCTTGTTTTATTTATAAGACATAAGTGAATGGGATGATCTTGTATTCACCTTTCTCTTTCTGACATATTTTCCATAATGTCGCACCTTCTAGTTCTTTCCATGTTGTATCAAAATGTAATTTTTTCCTTTTTTGTTTTGTTTTGGGGCCACACCCGCAGTACTAATGGTTTACTTCTGGCTCTACAGAAATAAATTCTGGCAGGCTCGAAGTCCATTTGGGGTGCCATATCTGGGTCAAATACATGCAAAGCAAATACGCTACTCACTGTACTATCTCTCTGATCCTTCAAAATGAAAAATTTGGGCATTTATTTTAGCCCATTAGTATTCCTTTATGTATATATGCACAAATACAAATACGTTTTTTGATGGGCTGGAGTGGTAGCACAGTGTGTGCCTTGCACGTGGCCGACACGGGTTCGATTCCCTCGTCCCTCTTGGAGAGGCCAGCAAGCTACCGAGAGTATCCCTCCTGCACGGCAGAGCCTGGCAAGCTACCCGTGACGTACTTGAGATGCCAAAAACAGTAGTAAGTCTCACAATGGAGGTGTTACTGATGCCCACTCGAGCAAATCGATGAACAATGGGAGGACAGTGCTACAGTACAGTGCTACTTTTTTTGATGTTTCTGATTTTTTATTCTTTGTTTAGGTACTGTTATTTATAGTATGATAATAATGATAATATTCAGGGATACAATATTGCTACACCACACCCACCAGCCTCCAACATTTTCTTTGGGTTCCCTCTCACTCCTTTATCCCCCACGCCCCCCCCCCCCCCCACACACACACACATCAAACTCAGTTCCACAGGCTGACTCGGGGTCTGTTATCATTGACTCTTTTAAATTTTCTTACTGTGTTTCTTTATGCGCCATGTATGAGAGAGATGATTTGATATTCTTCCTTTGACTCACCATGTTCAGCATGATACCCTCTAATTCCAACCATGTTGAAGCGAATTGTGAATTGTGATATTACATCTGTTCTTGTAGCTTTATAGTATTCCATTGTGTATATATGCCACAATTTATCAGTCAACTGTTCTTGTACTCTTGGGTTGTTTTCTCTTTTTTT